AAAATTTAAAAATCAGTTAACTTTTTTATTTGTTCAGTGGCCCTAATCCTTTTCCGTATAATGGGAGTTTTTTTTTTTTCTTTTTAATATAATTTCAAACATAAATCTTTATTTTAATGACAAATCGTCTTCCTTACCTGCTCAGTTTAGGGCAGGTACACTTATTTAAAAAAAATTCCCTTTACATGTGAAATGCTGGTAAAGACTTTCCCAAAAGTTCCTATAAAGTGCCTACTCACTGGAGCTGAGTACAGTACAATTCACCCCAAAAATGTTACACTTATAGATTTAAATTCCATAACAGTTTCTTCCCGTCTGCCATTAGACTGCTGAATGTTTTTGTAAAATGGGTTATTTTATTGTATTTTATTATTTAAAAAAGAAATGAAATGTTAGAACTTTAAATATAGAGTCAAATGTTCATATTACTGTTTTTCTGTATTTTTTACTGTTTTCAAGGCTGCACTTTAAAAAAAATGAAATTGTCTGGAGAGCTGTTCTTAACGATATTTCTTTTTGTTTACATTCGTGTACACAAAATGACAAAATAAATCTGTCCAAGTCTAATTTAAAATCTAAACTGTGCATCATTTTCTTCTACTTCACAGTTCTGTGTTGATCTATCTTATAAAATCTTAATAAAAAGCATCAGAGTTTGTGGTATTAATGTAACATAATGTGAAATATTTTCTGCGTAATTATAGTTTTGCAAGTTACAGCAGGGAAATGAGTACAGCTGTGTTCAAAGTATATTTTCGTATTTCCTATACAGGTAGCAACATTAGCTGAAGGTAAGGAGTGGTCCATTGATACATCCACTGCTAAAAACTGGACTCCTCCGCAACCCAAGTCCAGCCTTTCATCCTCTCACAGGTAACTTATCCGCAGCATTTAAACACGTCAGTGCTGTAATCGACATGAATCAGTCTTAAAATGCGTGAATTCCTACTGTTTAAATCCAGATCTGGAGGATCGGGTCAGACCCAGGTCAGTTCTAATGACAAGGCGTTCGAGGATTGGTTGAGTGACGACGTCAACTCTTATCAAAGGTAAAAAAAAATGTTTCCTCGTTATTTCTTTGTTTTTTGTTTTTTATTGTAAATTGATATGCTGGTACTCAGGATACAAATGATCGATTAATAAACACATTTTAAAGTTTTTAATTGACCAATGCGAAATTGATAAGTGGACGTTTTTAAAAATCTCAAGTTTTCTCTTTTATCAAGCGGATCTTTCTGTTAACATTAAAGGCCTAATTATGTTTTTACTATATGATGAATAAAAAAAAAAAAACATTGTTTTAACAATTTATTTTTCCATCTTGTTACGTCCCGCCAAGGACACAACATATTTGAGGACACGAGACAACAAATGAGGGTTCAAAAGAATTATTTTATTTAGCACTTCTCTTCAATTAGTTTTTCTTGGTCAGCTTCTTCTGATGTTCTGTGAAGAGAAGAGTAGGAAAAAGGCCCTCAAATCCC